AGGATCTGGGAATGGAGAAGGATTTGGGAACCCCTGGAGAAGGTTCAAGATCCGGGAATGGAGAAGGCTCAGGATTTGGGAACCCCCGGAGAAGGTTCAGGATCTGGGAATGGAGAAGGATTTGGGAACCCCCGGAGAAGGTTCAGGATCTGGGATCTCCCGGAGGCTCCCAGGGAGGGCCTCACCTGGTTCTTCACCTCGGTGACACATCCCTTCTCCCGCCAATCCATCTCCTCCGGGACGTTCCCGACCGGCCGGGCCGGGAATGCCGAGTTCCCACGTGGACGAGGAGCCACCCGGAGCCCCGTCAGCGCCGCCGCCACCTCCTCACTGGTCTGGGAACGGGACAAAATTCCAGAGGGTGATTCCCGCTCTCCGCAAATTCCACCCGAGGCTGGGAATCCCGAGCTGGAAGAGGCGGGTTCGGGGAATCCTCAAGTCCTTGTTTTTTACAGGAAAAGGGAAAACAGGGCTCGAATCCAGCCCCCCTAGAATCCTTGGAAGTCGGGTTGGGTCGTCAAATCCCTCCTTTAATCTTTTAGCTTTCCATTTAAATTCCAAACGTTGGTTGGAAAAGGCGAGAGGGGAAAAAAAAAAAAAGCCAAAATCCCTGGAAGTTGGGTTGAGTTTCGAATTAAATCCCTTCTTAACTCTTCCATTTCATGTCCGGATTTTCATTGGAAAAGGAAGGACAGAGCTCAGCTCCGGCCTCCAAAATCCCTGGAATTTGGGTGTTGCGTCATTAAACCCCGGGACAGGGAGGAGGGATGATCCATAAACATCCCTAAGGACCGGGATGGCCCCAAATCCCACCTCGAGGAGTTCTTCCCTCGCGGAATTCCGGCCGGAACGTCGGAGCAGCCTCTCCCTGGATCCCCACAGGGATTCCCCCCCCCCCAGACCCGCCGATATCCCGGATAAATCCCCCCTCCGTGGTGGGAATTCCGGAGGCGCTTCCCGCACCCACCATGTCCCCCAGGTGGTTCATTCCCAGGGTGTAGGAGCGGATTCCCAGGGAATGCTCCAGGTTGTGGAGCGTCACCAGCCGCAGGTTCTTCTCCCACGTCGCCCGACGGAGCGAATCCTCCTTCTGGAATTCCAGAGGGGCTCCGTGAGGCCCGGGACAGCCCCTTCCCCCCCCCCCCCCCCCCCCAGGAGGAGCTGGCCCAGTTCAGCCCAGTAAAGGTTGCTGGGAGTCCCGGTGGGATCATCCCTGGGGACTGGGAGAACCTGGAAGAGCCGTTGGATCTTCTCCTGGGGGTGGTCACCCCCCCTGGGACACCCCCCAGGAAAACCTGGGATGCTCCCGGGATACCCCTGGGACACCTCTGGGACCCTCTTGGGATACCCCTGGACCCCCTGGAAACCCCAGGACATCCCTGGAAATCCTGGGACACTCCCAGGACACCCCTGGGATTCCTGGGATACTCCTGGAACCCCTCCAGGACACCCTCCGGGATGTTCCCAGGACACCCCAGTTCATCCCAGGATCCCTTGGATACCCCCGGGACACCCCTGGAACTCCCTTTTTTCCCCCCCAAAACATTCCCAGGACACCTCAGTTCATCCCAGGATCCCTTGGATACCCCTGGGACACCCCTGGAACC